CAGAGAGACACCATTGCTCTTCAGTACTTTGGAGAGGTCCCTAACAGCAGACTTTCCCATCGCAATATGTCTTTTAATTTTCTGCTTGCTGGTGCCAAGGGTGTTGACTGTGGAGCCAAGCAAACTAAAGCTGTGAACAATCTCCATCTCTTCATCATCCATCCTGATGCTGTCAATTGGTCCAGTGGTAAGAATCATTGTCTTCTTGCTAGTGAACCTCAATCCATATTGAAGGCTACAGTCCTTGACCCTCTGCAGCAAGCATTTCACGTCCTCCTCAGTTTCAGCAAGCAGGGTTGTATCATCTGCATAACACAGATTGTTGATAGATCTTCTACCAGTCCTGACACCAAGCTTCTTCTCATAGAGCCCAGCCTCCTCATAATCTGTTCTGCACACAGGTTGAAAAGGTATGTGAAAGCCCAGAATCCCTGGGAGTGTTCATTGAAACTAATAAAATTTAATAATAAAAAAAATGGTATGGAGACAGGACACATCCCTGGCTTATGCCCTTCCCAATTTTGAACCATTCAGTGTTCCCCTGCTCTGTTCTGACGACTGCCTCTTGGTCCAAATATAGGTTTAACATTAGAATGATCAAGTGTTCTGGGATTCCTATTCTCAGAGTCAGCCACAGTTTGTTATGATCCACACAGTCAAACGCCTTTGTATAGTCAATGAAACACAGATAAACATTCCTCTGGTATTCCCTGCTTTCAGCTAAGATCCATCTAACATCATACAATATCCCTAGTACCACAACCCCTTCTAAACCCAGCCTGGACTTCTGGCAGTTCTCTGCTGATGTGCTGTTCCAGTCATTTTTGGATGATCTTAGTAGAATCTTGCTTGCATGTGAAATCAGTGAGATTGTTCTATAGTTTCCACACTCTCTTGGGTTACCCTTTTTTGTGATGGGAACAAATATAGATTCCTTCCAGTCAGTTAGTAAAGTGGTTGTTCTCCAGCTCTTGGCACAACTTGGTGAGCACGTCCAGGGCAACAACAATGTAGATAACAAAATGAATGAGGAAATCTTATGGACTGAAATGGATATACTGCTAAGATATATTACTAAGCAAAAAAAAAATTTATTTTATCTTACTAATGGTAACATAAAATCAGAAAAACAGAAGATTTTCATAAGCAAAAATTTTTTTAAATCTTTAAAAGGATAAAACACAACAGTAATTACTTTGAGAGGAGGATAGATGAAGGAAGGGGAGGGGAGGAAAAGGTAGAAGATGCAATGTGGTTTTATACTTTCTTTTTTAATATTTTCTTTTTCTTTTTCGGAAGATGGGCAAGCTCCTACTGTGCATTTAACTGCCTCTGAAAATCCACCAGAGGGTCAGCTATGGGCTAGTTTCAACTCACTGGTACAAAATAATAAATTCTATAACTGCATTTACGTTTCATAAAATAAATTTTTAAAAATAATAAAAAGTCTGAAAGTTGATACACAATTATATAGTTAACATCAGATTTCAGTGGCATTCATCTAACACAGGATACTGATAGAGACTTACATTGACTGCAATCCTCTTTCCCAGTGTCCATAAGGATGTAGAGCTGAAGAATAAGTTGTGGGCAGCCTTCAAGGTAGGTCTCAAATAGCCTGAGCATGCTCAGATCAGTCACTCTGTCTATAACTTCTTTATGCAGGTCAATGTGTTCTTCCTTATAGTAATCAGTTGCTTTGCTATACTTGAAAGCCACATGGTGACCCTTTTTCAAGGCAAACCAATACCTGTAAAGTAAATATGAATATTTTATCTTCAGTAACATATTCTTTCTTTCTTTTTCTGTTTTTTTTTTTCTTTTTCTTGTTGTGTACCATCAAGTTGGATTTGACTGGCACAGGAGGAGATTGCCCCACCTTCTCCAGCGGAGCATCTGGTGAATTCAAACCACATGCCTTTGAGATTGCAGTGCAGCTTCTTGCCAGTAGGCTACCAGAACTCCCTTTAATAACATATTCTTTCTTACCTGTATGTTAGTATACAAGACGGCTTTCGATAAAGGGAACATGTGTTTAAGAAGAGACGTTTTCCATTAACTCTCTTTCCTTCCATTCTGAACATTTCATGGTACCTTGGTGGAGATATAGTTACCATTGAATCATGTGTCATGTCTGTGTTAGGCATATTATGTATACACGGCGAGACCTCATTTCACCTTTGCAATAATTACGTGAGATGAATAGGTGTTATTTCCATTTTACCGATGTGAAAACAAAGGCTGACAAAGGTAGTGTGATTTGCTGAAAGTTACAGAGTAGGAATCCAAACCCAGACGGTAGCTTTCCTACTCTTAACCACTGCATTCTGAGAGATAAACTGCAACTTCCAGTTTACGTAACTTCATAGCCACACATATGCACACCTTGCTGATAATGTCAAGTGTGAGGATGAAACTGAATCCTCTTTCAGGTTAATCTGGCAAATATTTAATAATGACATGGTAGTGGACTTTTTGATGATTGCCAGTCTAGAAAAAGTAAAATATCAAAGACTTCAGATATTTCTGCTCAGGCTCTTCTTTTAAAATAAGTTTTAAAAGAATATGAATAAGGGGAGCTCTGGTGGCCTAGTGGCAAAAAGCTGCACGCAATCCCAAAGGTGCACAGTTCGAATCCACCAGATGCTCTGCCGGGAAAGGAGGGACAATCTCCTCCTGTACCAGTCAGATCTGATTTGACGGTACACTCACACACACACACAATAATAAAATAATTTTTAAAAAATTTTAAAAAATATGAATAAAATTTATAACAAAAAACAGACTTATTTGGAATAAATCAAATGTTTATTTCAAGGGAACCAGGACTGCTTTATTCTGCAAACTAGGAAACCACAGTCAGTGCTCTTTCCAGATACTTCAACGTCCTCACATGTAAAACAAAAGCAGTTACATAAGCTTTCTCAACTTGATCCTTCTACCAGTGTTTCCAATTTCAGTAAATGGTACTACCATTCACTACGCTATTAATACAAATAAGTTTAGGATAATGTCCAACTACTCTCTTCTTCTAATATTCAATATTTAATTCCTCATAAATTTGTCTTAGCTTTTACCTCTAACTTCAAATGCATCTATAATATAAGCATTTAACTAACTCCACTGTTAACATTGTAATTTAAACTATGCAGCATTGAAAAACAAGGAACTCACGAAATATTATGCAAAATGGATGACCCTGGTGAACATTATGCTGAGTAAAATATCTCAGTCACAAAAGGACAAATATTGTATAAGGCAACTGTTGTAAAACGAGACTCACATCAGGATTGAGGGAAGACAGAGAAGGAGGGGAGGAATGATGTATCTTGCCTTGAAACAGATGAGGGAGAGATCTGTTTAAAAGGGACATATGAATGGGTATTCTTGTCATTACAGAAGTCCAGATTGATGGCTGCACAGTGGAGTGAACTTGGTGGGAGGGATTGCATAATAATGAAAGAGTTTTTCTTTTTCTTTTAGAGGAGAAGAGTTATTAGGTGGGAGGTGTGCAGGGAGAAAAGTGCAACGGTGAATAACTGGAAACTTTCATTAAAGTTAAAAAATGTTTTAAAAATTATCATTTAAGCAACCAACAACTCAAGATTTGATTGTTTTTATACTCTCACAGCTGTTCTCTTTGATTCTACTCTTGCTCTCAAACAAGCTATTCCACGTACAGCATCAACTTTTAATCATAATTCATAAGTCTTCTGATCAATAGATTCCAACAATTTTTCATCAAACTAAACATATAACCCCACGTCTTTACAATATCTTATGAGGCCCTCTGTGATCTGACTCCCACAACCATAATCAATACCTTCCCACCTCTTTCTCCACACTGATTTGCACCTTTACTTCATTCAAATATCTGCTCAAATTTTAATTTTTCATAGAGGCCTCCCAACATCACACCAGGTAAAATAGCACATACTTTGGACATCACATACTTTGAGAAAGACATCCATGGAGTGAAGGATTTATTGTCCAAAATGGCTTCCCTCTTTATTAACTTGTTTTGCCATGTAAATGGGTAGGAATATGTGAATAAGGTGTGTTAGCTTGTCCAAAGGGAATTGGCTAGTCTTGCCATTAAACTGAACAGATCCAACAACAAAATTAGGGAAACGTTATCACCAGCAAGAAGAAACAAGAGAATGTACCATTCTCTTCAGAACCAGAGAATCTTAAACCATCCAGTCTAGCGCTTATGAGAACAATAACCATAGCAGCCACAGCAGAGAAACAGAGACCTGAGACAGAGCAGACCTTGGGATTGTTACACCATTGAATTATTTGCTCAACTTTCTTGGAAAACTTGGGGGTGGGAGAGAAAGTGTCATAATTGGCAGGATGGAGAGCTTTGTAACATTGGCCTAAAGCTAGAAGACTAAAGACTGAGCTGTCTGTAAGCACATTTCAGAAACTAACTTTGCTATATATTGTGCTACCAACCTAAATTACAGCCTTTTGACTTCCCCAAATAAAATGTTTCTGTATGGTATATAACCTATCCCTTTGGATTTTGGACCTAGCAGAGCAGTAAGATTGGTGTTGGGGTGAGTAGAAAGGGGTATGGGTGCGTGGGAGACAAGTATGGCCTCATGGGAATTGTTTTTGTGTCGTTGATGTAGTTGATAGTAACAGCTGTCCTTTGTGAAGTTGGTAAAGGCCGAATTTGTTTATCCGCATGCTGCCCTTGCTCTTTTTACAACATCATAAATACAAGTATATTTTTACCATCATGCTTTTGTTTTGAGTTTTGGGACTCCCCTCTCCCTTGGTTTTCTGTAGAGAAGGCTGTATTTTCCTTTATTTCTAGATAAAACACTCAAAGGGCACATATGAAAAATGGCTTATAAACCAATATGTTGTTGTTGTTGCTGTTGCTGTTGTTATTGTTACATGCAGTCAAGTTGACTGTGACTCATAACAACCTTATGAACAGTGGCTCTGAACCTTGTAGTATCCTGGGCCAACCTCATTATCTTTCACACATCTGACCCCATTGTCACAGTCACTATGTCAATTCATCTCATCCAGAATCTTCTTCCCCATGCACTGACCCTCCACCCTTCCAAGTATGGTGTTCTTCTCCAAGGATGGGCCCCTCCAGAGTATGACCAAAGTATGCAATATGGAGCTTCAAAAATCCTTGCCTCCAAGAACTTAGATTCACCATTTCCAGGACAGACTTATTTGTTCTCTTGGCAGTCCATGGTATGTTCAATACTTTTCTCCTGGACCACAATAATATAGATATCATTACTTTTCAAAGAGAAGAGAGAACTTGGGGGGAGGGGTGAGCAGGGAGAAAAATGCAATAATGAATGAATGGAAATCCAAAATCTCTGTAAACATTCATTAAAATTAATAAAACAATTTTCTTAAAAACAGAGGATAGGTATCATTAATTGAAACTTGAAAACAATCACAAATATTAATACCTAGTGCATAATTATTAATACCTAGTGCATAATTATTAATACCCAGTACATAATTGGAAGTACGAGTGGCATCTACTTCCTAAATAATATGCCTCCATAAACCCTATGAACTTTGATAAATATCGATAGTTGTAGAGGGGCTTCAAGCCTTTTGTTCATGGGGGAGCTATGAGGTGTGCAATCAACAACAGTGTATAATTAGTATAAGCAGCATAGTGTCAGAGGGTAAAAGAATACACTAAGCATTAATGTTATTGATTGTTGTAAAGTCAATTCTGACTTCCAGTAATTCCATGTGATGAAGTAGAACTTCTCCAAAGGGCTCGGCTCCATAGTCAACACTCTTGGCACCAGCAGCCAGGAAATTAAAAGGCGCATTGCCATGGGAAAGTCTGCTGTTAGGGATCTCTCCAAAGTACTGAAGAACAATGGTGTCTCTCTGGAGACTAAGGTGCATCTGATACAGGCCATGGTCTTCGCAATCACTTGTTATGCATAAGAGAGTTGGACAATGACCAAGGAGGATAGAAGGAGAATTGATGCCTTTGAACTGTGGTGCTGGAGAAGAGTATTGAGAATACCATGGACTGCTAGGAAAACAAACAGATTCATCCTGGAAAGGGTTATACCAGGTGGCTCCTTGGAGGCAAGGATTTTCAGGCTCCATCTAACATACTTTGGACATGTTGTGAGGAGAGACCGTTCCTTGGAGAAAGACATCATGCTTGGGAGGGTGGAGGGACAGCGCAGGAGGGGAAGGCCCTTTATGAGGTGGATTGGTTCAGTGACTGAGATAATCGGGATGGGAGTGTCAGAGACAGTGCAATTGGCACAGGACAGAGCAGAGTTTAGGGCTGTTGTACAAAGGGTCACTATGAGTCGCAAGTGACTCAACGGCACATAACAACAACAACAACAACAATCTTTACAGAAGCAGTTGTTAGATCACTCTCTGTTGGAGTTGCTGGTTAGGTTCAGACAAGCTACCTTTTGGATAATGACTATCAAGCATTTAGCTATTTATGCCAATAGATAGTGCTCTTAATAGTGCTCTTAATTCCCAATGATGAAGAGTATAGAGTCTTATAGTCAGGGGACCTAAGTTCAAATTCTGGCTCCAATATTCCTAGATAACCTTTCTGTGCCTCCAATTCCTCATTTGGAAAGTGGAAACAATCACCATACCCACTGCTAGGGGTTAAAAGCATGTTCCAAAAAAAATACGCGTTGTGACTCTTAGCCTCTATGCCTGTAGTTATAATCTCATTTGAGAATTTAATGCTAAAGGATTCTCAGAATT